GTGAGGAGTAGGAGAGTCGGAGCAGCAGGCTGAGGAGGGATGGAGGAGGAGGAGGAGGAGGAGGAGGAGGAGGAGGAGGACGACGACGACGACGACGACGACGACGACGTGGGAGCGAGGGAGGGATGGGAGGGAGGAGGAGGGATGAGGAGGAGGAGGAGGATGAGGAGAAGGAGTGGAGCAGTGGAGTAATTATGTACCAATCAGGACCTTGCGGACTGGGGCCACCCTGCGAGCGGGCGTGGATTGGGCCGCCCAGAATCGCCCGAAGTTCTTTTTCCTTGAGAACGTCAAGGCGCTGTGCGACGGCGACGGCGTCAACAATCTGGATGCCCTGGTGGAGGCGTTCGGACACATCGGATACTACGTCGCTGGGTGCGTCCTCGACAGCAGGGCCCACGGTAGCCCGCAGCGTCGCACGCGCTGGTGGGGCGTGGCCGTGCGGGCGACTCCCGCGGGCAAGCCTCTGCAGCAGCACCCTCTCATCGGCATGAAGTTCCAGCAGTACGAGTCCAAGATGATGGACACACTGACGCGCATCCAGTTGGAGCCTGCCCCGATCGAGACCGTCCTCATGGCCGAGGACTGCAGTGTGTGTGCGTGCGTGTGTGTGTGTGGCAATGACGGTGCGGTCGTCGTCCGTCGGTCGTTGTCGTTGGCGGCGGTGGTCGTCGTCGTCGGCGGGGGCGGCGGGCGGTGGTGGCGGTGGTTGTCGTCGTCGTCGCGTCCTTCGTCTGCGTCGTCGTCGACGTGATCCCACTCCCCCTCCTCCTCATCGTCTTACCCCCCCATCCTTCTCGCCCCCCTGCGACCCTCTCGTCCCCATCTGGCGGTATTGCGCCAGGATTCCGAAGAGCTGATCGTGTGGATGGGCATCACTAACCAGCCGCCCAAGAGCGGCGGCGGGCCGCCCGGGGGCGCCGGCGCCCGCGACGCTTCCAAGAAGAAACCTTTCTGGCCACAGGAGCACGCGGAGAAGTTCCGCACGCACGGCTTCAAGTACCCCCCGAACTGGTGCATCGTATACACGCCCGAGCAGATGGAGCGCATGAAGAGCCTCCCTCAGCGCAGCCAGGAGGTGATCTTGTTCTTCGACCTCCTCTACGGCAAGCTCGACCCCGCCGACGGCAGAGACAAGGAGCACGTCATCGACGTGTCTCAGGGGATCTCGCGGGTGCCCAGCCTCGTGAACGGGATCCCCTGCGTGACGCCCAAGGGGGACTTCTGGCTCAGGAAGAGGTTCAGGCTGCTCCAGCCCAACGAGCGCTTGGCAGCGCAGGGCCTCCCGCTCTGGACTTACAGGGAGTTGGCCGCCTTCGGCATGAAGGACTTGGCGTGCTTGGGCGGCAACGCCTTTAATGGCAACACCGCCATGGCACTGTGTGGGTTCTGAAATTAGAAGATTTTCGTTTCGGTGGTTCCACCGCTCCACGGTCGTCACTCGGGGGGCCTGGCCCCGCGGGCCCCCAGGGGCCTTTCTCGGGGGCTTGGGTCTGAGGTCTGAGGCTTGAGGCCTGCCGGCCTGCCTGCGGCTTGGTCGGAGCATTTCTGGAGGCATCTCGAGGGCTCAGAGCATCGCCTAGGCCTCGGCCGTTATCGGCCGCCGCCCTTCCGCCCCGCCCAGGCATTCACGATGGCGACGCTGGCGAGCTTCCCGTGGGACGACCTCGACGAGGCTTCCCAGCGGAAGTTCGAGGGCGAGCTGAAGGGCCAGTTCGAGGCGGGCCTCGGCATGAAGGAGATCATGCGCTCCGTCGGGTGGCCCACCGTCCAGGCCCTCTTTTAGCGCGTTTCAACTCTCAGGTGCAGGCCCCCACCTGGGCCGGCGGCCGGCGGCGAGGGCGGCATCGGCATCCCGCGTTAGGGTCCAGGGTCGTTCTGGAGGTCTGCGAGCTGCGAATGTCTTTTTTTGAAGGGGCGCTTCGCCTTTTGTTCGATGGCATTTGGAGGTGCAGGGGCGCCTCCAGGTGCTTGACTTCCAGGCTTCCAGGGCGCGCCCAGTGCCCGAGGTTTCGGGGTTCGGGGGAAGAACGGGGGAAACGAAAGTTTGGAGTCGGAGAGGCCGGAGGTTCAGTGGGGAGGGAGAGGTTTTCGGCCAGCCGCCGTCGTTGCCATCACATGCGCCATTTTGGGGCAAAACCATTTTGGGAACAGGTCTCATCAGGTCTTGTTGGCTTATGCCATGTGTAAGTTTTGTCCGCGTCGGGGCACTCGGTCGGAGTCGACGACGTCGACAAGCGCTCGCACGTCCGCCAACGTCGACTCGACGTTGGCGGACGTGCGAGCGCTTGTCGGGAGGGCCCAGAGCGCCCATCTCGCTGACTTGGCTTCGGCCGCTTCTTCCCGGGGATTGGGGACTTCAGGATCTCCAGGCGGCCAGTTTGCGAGTGATAGCGGGATCCTCGGTGCCAGGGCGGCGCAGCCGCGCAGTGGTCTTGATCGCCCGCGCCCCCCCGAGATAGCGTCGTTAGCAGCGGCGCCGGCGGCCTGGCCGACAGGGCGGTGCGATGCGGTCTCTTCTTTCTTCTGGGTAGTTTATAGAGCCTCTCATGGGAGAAGGCGCAAGCGCGCCGCCTGGCGAGAGAGGCTCGAGAGGTAAACTGTAATATTTTGCTGGACGATTGGGCGGCTGACCGAGGATTCGCAGCGAGAGAGTGATTGATATCATGTCTCAGTCTCTTCCGCCCTGATGCTTTATGGGCCCTCTTCTGCCTTATCCCTTATCCCCTCTCCCTTGCCCCTTACCCTGCATCCCTTGTCCGCATGCCTGCGAGGTGATGCTATCGCATCCCAGGTCGCCACCGTGGCTCTTCTTGGGGATGTCAAACGTCGGGGATCCGCGGGGCCCATGCTTTTCCGAAGTCGGGAGCCCGCGGGTCCGCAGCACTAGTCAGACATGCTAGCGCCTTGGGGGGGGGCTGGGGCAGGACGATTGCACCGCTCTCCATTCCACCGCCGCATTGCCCTACCCGACGACGTCCCAGCCCTTCAGGATTCTTTGCGCGTGACGAACATTGCATTCCCCGTCTTGGGCGCCCTCGGTCGGAATCCCTGGCAGCTCCACGGTCGAAAGTTAGGGTGGGGCGGCGCCTTAGCATCAGGGGACTTGGGAAGAGTGACGACGAGACTTCTCGATATTTTCCCCCGCCTGTCCCCTCGCACCTTTCCCCCTGATCCGACGAGGAACCCAGGCTCTGGTTCAGGGGGAGTCGTCCCTGGGGCGATTTTTTCTTCGGCCTGCCGAAGTCTCGGATTTCGGCCACCTCGGCTGGGGCAGCCGCTTTCGTGCTCTGACGCCATGGGCGGCGAAGTGGAAACGGACATCATGGATACCTTGAGCAGCTGCGGCGGGGAGGACGTGGACGTCGCGCTGCGAATGCTCACCGAGACTGGGGACGGGGGCGCCGGCGGCGACTCGCACCAGACAGGCGCTGGCAACGAGGACTGCGGTTCCCTCGAGAGTTCCATGCCCATTCTCTTTCTCTCTCATGCTCTCTAGTTTTTTTGTTTCTCTCTCTCTCTCTCTCTCTCCCTCTCTTTCTCTTATGTATATGTGTATATATCTATCTTTGTCTTCTCATGGAAATAAATATATACACATGCACTTCTCTCTCTCTCTCTCTCTCTCTCTCTCTCTTTCTCTCCCCCCTCTCGCCTTTATTTCCCCATGTTGCTTCACATCCAATAGTGCCCACGTCCCCCATCAGGGCGTGGCTGGCGTTCTTGGTTCTTGGCATGGGGGTCCGGGGCCTATGGATAGCGGGGCGAGCGATACCAGACACCAACTCGCATTTGCAACCACAGCACTTGGGCGTTCTGCAAATGCACGCATGTGCGCCTGATCGTATACGTTTACCTGTTATACGGATGGCACGCGCATATACAGGCACGTGCACACATGCATATGTGATATCCAACTGACGGGGTAATCTGGTGGCCTCTAGCCTCTGGCGCAATTCTCTGTGCTTTCGAGACGGCTCTTGCACTGCGCTCTTGCGCTCCCTGGGTCCCTGGCCGGCGCCTGCCCAGGCGAAGCGCAGGAAGGAGTCGGGGCGCAAGCGCAGCCTCAGGAACGTCGGTGGCGCTCTCATTGACAAGTCTGTGATCAGGACATCCTCGATCGGCGAGGTGGGGGTCCTGCTTGAAATGGCTCGTGAGCTTCTGGGTGACAACTTCGACAAGATCATGTCCAAAACTTGCTTGCCGTGCGGCAAATCCGTCGGCGGCGGGGACGTCCTCGACCCGACGCGCACGCGGGCGTGGCACAAGCCCGACTGGGAGGGCCGCATCTGTGCTTACTGTGGGGTCGCGAAGTTTAAGCTCTGGCCCCACCTCGCGATGGCAGAGGTTCGCGACATGATCAAGCGCGATGAAAGTGCTCGAAAGAGGTTCTTCGATTACATCGATAACATGATCGACCACCTGAGCAGCGGCAACACGACCCTGAAGAACTGCCCGACGGAGCGCGTCGATAGGACGGAGTCTACTGGCTGCAGGGCCAGCGTGAAGGGGGTGTGGAAGTTACTTGGGGACAAGGATTCGGGGTACATCAAAGAGTTCGGCGATCCCGACACAAACGGGCTCAACCACACGAAGGCGAAGAGGAAGTGGAAGGATGGCGTGATGAGGCAGTGCTTCTACGGGTGTTTGTAAAAGATTACCTTGAAATCACTTCTCGTGCTCCTCCTGCTCCTCTGCATCCTCCTCCTGCGACCCTCCCCCACTGCCCGTTGCACCCTCTCCCCCTCTCACTTGCGTTGATTCCTCCCGCGCCTCCTCTTCGACCAGCCCCGAGCCCCGAACCCCCGCTTCCCCATCCTCCCTCTCGGGGAGCGCGTCGGCTGCCTGCTCCCGCGCGGCGGCGGCGCGATCGCTGTCGCGCGGCGGCGGGGCTGATAGGCGCCCCGGGAGGGAGGGGCGAGGGCGCGCCATTTTTACCGCCTCCATTGCCATTGCCCCACAGGGTGTGCGTCCTCGTCCCGACCACTCCCGACGACGAGATGGAGGCGGAGTGGTACGAGGACAGCGCCATGACTTACTCCGCCAACATCGCGGACGGGACGGCCACGGACAGCGCCGCGCACGTCGGCGACATCTTCAACGCCATGAGGGAGACCAAGGGCCAGAACATCATCACGGGCGAGGCGAGGGCGGTGCAGGTCGCAGCCCCAGGCCCCGCGTCTTCGGCCCCTTCGAATGGCGAGGAACGCCTGGCCGAGGCTGAGCAGCGGCCTGCTCCTGAGGAGGAGGATGAGGATGAGGACATGGAGGATGAAGACGTCCTGATGGGTTTTCTCGGCTTCGGCACCGAGGACGATCGGAGCAGCGGCGCCGGCGCGGGCAGCTCCGCCGCTGCTTCCACTGCTTCTGGCGGTGCAGAGGGCCGCCGCGGGGCTAGCGGCGGCGGCGCAGGAGGGCGCCGGGCGGCGGGGCAGGCGGCCGCGGCTCGGGCAAGCGGAGGCGCTCGCGAAGCGGCCATGTCTAGCGAGCCCCCTCCGCTGAGCAAGTTGAGCGGCGGCGGCGGTGCCGGTGCCAGGAAGAGGAAGGTTGCTGGCGGGGAGCCCGAGCTCCCGCCAGAGAAGGTCGTCGGCTTCGCAAGGCAGCAGATGAAGCGCATGGAGGGCTACAACGAACAGTTCACAACGGGGCAGCGCGCCACAGTCCTGGCATTCGACAAGAAGCATTTCAAGGCGGTCAAGACGGTCACGGATGCCCTTCTCAGTAAGCAGGCGCAAGTCGGGCAGCCCTTGCGGGACGAGATCTCGCTCGTCATCAAGATCGCCGAGTGCTGCGTCAGGAGCATCAAGGCCTACAAGCAGTGGGCTCGCAGCGGGAACGATCAAGAGTTCGTGACCGAGCACTGGCAAATAGTCAAGTTTGCTGGCGAGGATCCCTCGTTCGTGTTGGCTTTCCCTCCATGCTATCGCCAGTGTTTATTGGAGGTGGAGTGGTTCTTCGGCCTTGTCAAGGACGCGATCGACGGCAACACTGAATCCATGAAGCAGAGGTTCGCGAAGATCTCCAAGGAATCCGCCCAGGGCCTCATGACCTTAGACGAGTTGGCGGTATGGCAGGAGGACTCCAGGGCGACCAACAATCACCCGTCGCGCATTCACCCACTTTCCCCCCATAGGGCTGTCAAGCGGGGGCCGCGTTTCCGCGATAGGGTCCCTATCGCGGAACTGCGTCCTGCCGGGCGGCCTGCAGGAGAGGCTCACCGACGCCTTGGTGGAGCTCGTGACCAAGCCTGGGGAGAAGGCGGCCAAGAGCATTGCCTTTCAGGCTGGCATGTTGAGAGTGTTCCTATCACCTGTCCCGAGGCTCGGGTCAGCGTCGACTTCTCTGTGCGCGCACCTCGAGCGCCCCATGCAACTACTGCGCCTCGCCTTCGACGTATCCGCATACCCAGGCAACGTCGACGCTGTCAATGACGCGTTGATTGAGATCGGCCGCAAGGCAGGTACCGTCCTGAAGATTTTCACAACGGCCAGTGGTGCGAAATTGATAGGGCACTTGCAGAGCCAGGTGGCCGCCCAGGGCCGCAAGGAGCAGTCGTCCGCCCGGCTCGCCAGCCTCCTCGACACGCACCGTGGCGAACACGCAGGAGAGCAGACGCGCGAGGCGATCGTCCGCGCGGACGAGGAGCTCGAGGCCCTCGGCTATCAGGACAAGTGCTCGACAATGTTATTAGTAATTAGCATAGGTCTTGTCTGAAAGATGTCCGCGGGCCCCTTCGGGGCCCATCGCTTGGGGGCTGTTACGGGCGCTCTGAGAGCGGTTGGGCGGGGCCCGAGATCGAGGATCGTTTCGATTTCGAATCGCCGTTGCCGGGGGGCCCGGGGACTGCGGCCAGGGGCTAGATGCCCAATGGGGGTCGGGTATACATCGGAATGTTATTTTGCGGCCGCTCTGCCCAGGACCCCGCGACCTCACAGCACGTGGAGAAGTTCCTCATCATACTTCGCATCGAGATTGCATCCATTGGCAAGGACGCGGGGGAGCTCGCGGACCTTGTCGTTAAGAAGGAGATTGAGCCCATCGAGATGTCGCTGAAGAAGGGGCCGATCGTGGACAGGATCAAGTGCATCAAGAACCTGAAGTACTTCACTGGCGCGCAGAAGGTCACGGGGGGCATGGAGTCGACGGTGATCGACGCGTTGGCGACCTTCTCCGACTGTCCGCTGGAGCCCATGCAGGATGGTTACGCGGGCGAGGATGTCGCTGTCTACGAGGATCTGTCGACGGCGATCTCGACCCTCCAGGACCTTTTCAAAGACACCTCCCTCCTCTACAAGTATTGGTCCCGTCTCAACGTGCCGGTAGAGCCGATCACGAGCATAACCCATCGCGGCCGCCAGGCTCTGCAAGCGCACGAGCAGAAGGTCATGGGTCCGAAGATGGTTAAGATCCTGGACGTCATGGAGCGGTCGGACCCTGATTACTGGCAGGCGCCAATAACTTCTCCCAATCGTCGTCGTTGTCGCGGGGCCCTTGTCGTTGATATTTCCCCCTTTTCCCCTTGCACCCCGCCAGCTCCAACTCTTTCTTCCCTGCTCCGTGCCAGCCTCCTCCCCCTCCTCCACGTCGCCCTCCCTTTGCTGAACTTATTTCCTTCCGTTTTCTTCCCGTCTCCGCCCACCCGTCGGTCCGCACTCCCCCTCCTCCTCGTTCTCGCGCCTCCTGCATCTCGATCTCTCATATTCGTCGCCGTCTTCCTCTTCCTCCTTTTTCCTGCTCATTCTCTTCGTTCGCTCATCCCCCCCGTGCTCCACGCAGGCTGTCGGCAAGTCCTCAGTGCAGGAGGGCGAGGCGGTTGCGAAGTTCCCTGGGATAGGCCCCGAGGCCGTGGCTGACGGCGTCGCCCTCAAGGCGAAGGTCAAGGGGACTTGGGGGGTGGCTGCACTTGCGAAGGAAGAGGTGGCAACGCTACTGGCGGCGCTGGGGCATGCCGATGCCTCCCTGGCGTTGCGCATCCAGTGGGGCTTGTTCTCGGTTCGCATCAGCTACTGCGCGCACGCCCACATCGTGTCAACTTGGTCGTTGGACGGCCCCCCGCCGGGCGATGACCTCACGGAGTCTTGGCACGCCCTGGCTGACGCTCAGAAGCTTTTGAAGGAGCTCCGTGAGTCCGATGGCGTCGAGCAGTGCATGAGCGAGGCGTCCTACGGAATGCGCGCTACCTTGGGGCTGCCACTGATGCAGTTCCCGCAGCTTGACTTGGAGGTCACGGCGGCCTCGAGCCTTTGCGACGAGCTGCTGCGTGGCACGACCAGTAAGATGGCATGCAGGTTGCAGAAACTGGCGGGCACCTTGGAGAGCAAAGTGCCGGCGTATGCCCCCTACGTCGTCGAGAAGTTCGACAGCGACAAAATCAAAGCCGAGCTCATTGATGTCGATTGGGAGCCCTTCGCTCGTGACTGGGCTGCCGCGTCAAAGTTTTGCGGGGTCGTCAGGGGCATGAACCACGCGCTGGTCGGCCAATTCGACGTCAACTACCCCGAGTCCGTGAAGATTGCCCTGAGAGGCCTGTCCTCATCCCGCACGTTCATCTCGGTTGTGTCGACGGTCAAGCTGATTCTCGTGAAGCTTCCTCAGGCCTCGAAGTCATCGCGCATCACTATGCTGAACAGCCAGCTCACCAAGTGTGCGCAGTCCAACTTGCCCGCCAACCTGATCGATTACCTGTCCCGCGAGGTGAGGAAGTTGAAGGGTTCGTAGGCGCAGGTCAGGCGCCCATGAGTTATCCTTTTTCTTCGATCTCGGTTTTTGGCCGACCCCCGCCCCGAGACCTTGGGATCATGGGTTTCGGGGCCTTCCTGAGTTTTCAGTCCGCCGGGAGAGGAGGCCCCAGGATGATTTATGTTTGGCAGGGGCTGTCGCTCGAGTCGAGGGGCGGGGCCGCAGAGCCTGTTGGTTTCTGGATTGCTTCGCTGCCTCGGCGATGGGAGGGCGTTGCCCCCAGGCAAGCAGCTGAGTCGCGATCCTGGGGCATCTCCACTTTTGCATTGGAGTTCTTTGGCAGGCCCTCGGACCTCGGCGACTCTCGACTTCTCTTCGCTCTCCTCTCTGCCCTGCTGCCAATAGCAAGAGACAGGCCCCATCCACCCCCCCCTCTTCTCTTCGGCCTCCGCAGTCCGCCCGGCCGCCCCCTTCCGTGCCGGCGCCGCCGCGGACGCATTGCCACTCTTGCAGGAAAGTGTGACGCCAGCCACTTTCGATTGGAAACTTGCTGGAGGGCTTCCTGGCCGGGAGGGGATTTAGCGCCGACTGCCCCCGCCCCCCGCCCCAGGAGCTGGGGGGCTGGAGGGCAGCAGGAGTTATGCCTCGCTCTCCTCTCTCTCTCTCTCTCTCTCTCTCTCTCTCTCTCTCTCTCTCTCTCTCTCTCCCCTTTCTTCATGTCATTCCTCGGTCGGTTGAGTGCTTCCCATTGTGCCCCTTAGGTGCCAGGCCGTCTTTGAAGGGAGGTTCAAGTGCGAGCGAGCGTGTCACGTTGTAAACCAATCACCGTCAACGGCAGTTTCGAAGCGGGGGGGGGGCCGCGGAATCGGGGATGCCGAGTCCACTGCATCTCCGCCTTGGCGTCTGAACTCCATTGCACTCTTGTGGGCTGCCAGGGCCGAGACCCGCAGACATGGTACATGGTATCTCTGGGTTTGCGGCTCCTCTCTCGAGGCCGCCGCCTCGCCGCCGCCCCTCGCCGCCGCCCCCCCATCACATGGGCCCCGTTGGGTCCCACCCCCGGGCGCCCCTTCTGGCCTCCTGCGGCGCTCCGAGGTCCTCAGTGCTCAGGGTTTCCAGAGGGGCCCAGGGGCTCTCGCTTGGGTTGGTTGGTTGGTTGGTTGGTTGCGCTGGTTGGTTGGTTAATCGCTGCGCTGGCTGCGTTGGCTGGCTGGTTGGAGGGCTCTGGCCCGTCTGGCCGTGGCGGGCTGTCGGCTGGTTGGTTGAAGTTGGTTGGCTGGTCGATTGACTGGTCGTGTTGGTCGGATGGTTGGTTGGTTGGTTGGCTGGCATCCTCTCCCTACTTCTACTCCTCGGGCGTCGTATGGGGGTAAAGGCATGGCAAGTCGGCGGAAGCCCGGCGACCGCGGGGGTTGGGAGCAGCCCTTCTTTCCCCCCTCGACGGATGGCAGGGATGGGAAGGGCTTCTCCCCGGCTGCATGCCCATTTTGGGGTGCAGTCCCCCGCGGCCCGACTGGCAGCTGGCCTCTGCCGCTCAGAGGCTCCTCGCCACTCTGCCCTTCCGCCCCTCCATTTGGATGGGCGGAAGGGGGAGGTGGCCCCTCTTCTTAGGGCATTGCGCCCGAGGGGGCCACGCGGTCGAGAGGGCCTCGCCCCCCTTTTTTTTTTCGTGGGCGACGCCAACCGCGCGCCGCTCCAGCTTGATACGCGTTGCCGCGCGTGCCAATCACGTTGTGCGTTGTCCGCGTGTATCAAGCTGGCGCGGGGCGCGGTTGGCGCTGTCCACTCAGGTCCCAAGGAAAACCGCCCACCTCCTCCCTCCTCCTCCTTTTCTTCGGATGCCTGTCGGCACATCCCCATTCTCCATCCAGATGCCTCTCGGCATATTCCCATTCAGATGCCTTGCGGCATGTCCCCATTCAGATGCCTTGCGGCATGTCCCCATTCAGATGCCTTGCGGCATGTCCCCATTCAGATGCCTTGCGGCATGTCCCCATTCAGATGCCTTGCGGCATGTCCCCATTCAGATGCCTTGGCACTTCTTTTTCAGATGCCTTGCGGCATGTCCCCATTCAGATGCCTGCCGGCAACCCGTCGCCCCCTGCAGCCCCGCTGGGCAAGATCCGCGCGAGGTGTGCGCCGAGGGGGGTCGCAGGCCCGCGGGGCGCGATCCGTGCGAGGGGTGCGCCGAAATTTGCCGCGGCCTTGCTTGCGGCGAAGTGCGATCAGTCGGAGGGCGGCGCCGAAATGATGGTCAACAGAGTCAGGGGCCATACATATATGTATGTACAAGTGTAGTGTACCCATGCATTCGTGTAGGTATTGGGTGCATGTTGGTGCGTGTATATTTACACACACATATACACACATATCGACATATATGCTTGCATACACATATGTATGCAGTCGACGGGGTGTTCTCTCGTCCCTTTCCCCCCTTCTCCATCCCCCATCCCCCTCGCTCCCTCTCTCCATCCCCCCCCCCATCCTTCTCCCCCCCTCCCTCCTCCCCTCCCCTCCTCCCCCCCGTCTTCCCCTCCTCCATCCCCATCCCCCCTCCTCCCTCCTCCCTCCTCCCCCTCCCCCCCCCCCTTTCCACCCCTTCTTCCCTCTCACCCTGCCCCAGCCCCCCCTGGTTCCCCGAAACACAGAACTCAACTCTTGCGGCGGCATCAATGACAGGGGGCGGGACGGTGGCCTGCGGGGGGGGGGGGAGGGGGGGCGGCGGGGGAAGGGGGGGGAGGTGGGGGGGGTGGGGGGGTGGGAATGTGACTGCGGCGCGAAGAATTACATGGTCGGGGCGGAGGGGGCGGCATGGAGCTGTTGGAGGGCAGAGGGGACAACAAGGGGGGGGGGGGGCGGGTGGCCTGCGGGGGAGGTGGGCGGGCTGCGACGAGGAAAGTACAGCGGTCGGGGCGAAGGGGATTGGGCTGCTGGAGGACAGCGGGCGGTGGTTGAGGCGCCTGTTATTGGGTGGGTGGGGGGGGGGGCCGCGCGTGGGGGGGGGGGCTGCGACGCGATAAATAGAACTGTCGGGGCAGAGGGTGCACCTTGTCTGCTGGTGGACAGCGGTGACAGTGAGGACGGGGGAAGGGGGCTTCAGCCTGCGGTTGGGAGGGGGGTGGGGAGGGGGGCTGCGACGCGGAGAGGAGAGTGGTCGGAGCTCTAGACACCGTGTACAACACAAGAACTGAACACATCTATGGGGACGATGTTTCGTGCTTTTGTGTCAATGTGTTTGATTATTGATGATTTTTGATTCGTCTTCCAAATCCGCCCTGCAGGAGGACATGCCCGACTTAAAGCGTGGTCTGCAGGGACGTGGGGTGAGGGGTGAGACCGAGGGGTGAGTCTTAGGGCTGCCTGGCGCCTCCTTCGGCGGGGAGCCTGCGCCGCGAGGACGCCAGGCTGCGCTCGCCCTCGCCGCCGGAGGCATGCGGATTCGGAGGGAAACGGATCCCGCGGGAGGGGAGCGGATCTGGAGGGAAACGGATCCGGAGGGGAGGAGGCGGAGGAGGAGGAGGAGGAGGAGGAGGAGGAGGAGGAGGAGGAGGAGGAGGGAGGAGGAGGAGGAGGAGGAGGAGGAGGAGGAGGGGGAGGGAGAGGAGGTCCGGAGGAGGAGGGGGAGGAGGAGGTGTCTTGTCGGGTCCCGCGGGCTCCCAGGGCCCACCCCGTGCCTCGCGACCGTCAGAGCACGCCTCGGGATGAAGAGCAGGTCCGTGGGTCAGGCCCAGGTTTCGAGGGCCCGTGGACGTCGCGCCAGCTCTTCAAGCAGAGGCGAGGCGTCCTGATCTGCTCATAGGCCCACCAAAGAATGTTCCAAACACATTTTAAGGTTTGCACGAAATCTCATTGAAGCAGTTCTGGCTGGGGCTGTCTTGGTTCAACTGACGCATCGGCTTCATGTTCTCAGAACATTGCTTCCTTATTTAGAAGACGCTTGGGTTCTTCTGAGAACATGTCGTGGTAGGCCTACAGGAATGCCGGGACGGTCGGTCCTTGCCCAAGCTTTTCTCATGCTGCTCATCCGGGGTCTCGTAGAGGAGGTGGGTTCGTCTTCGGAGGACAAACAGGTACGCAATACCCCACCCTTGCCCTCCTCCTCCTCCTCCTCCTCCTCCTCCTCCTCCTCCTCCTCCTCTCCTGTTTTCCCCTCGTGGGGCATGGGGCGCCCTCGTCGCCACCGTTGGGTACGCCTCGGGGTCTGGGTCGGAGCGCACCCTCGGCGAGGTTCGCGGAGTGGCGGTATCGGCACTCTAGATTTCGTAATAAAAGGGAGGGGGTCTGGACCCTCCAAGACAAGCCATTTCAGACCCCCCCCCGTGGGAGAACCCTCCAGAACATCGTCCCCAGACCCCCCCAGGCCCTCCAAGATAGCCTGGAAGAGATCCCCCCCCCCCCGAAATGAGACCCCCCTCCCTTTTATTACGAAATCTGGAGTACCTTTTGGTTTCCCCACGTCCAGGCCTCCAAAGTGGGGTCGGAGTAGACAGATCAGAGGCGGGGATTGATCCATGACCACCGCCCGGGGGATCGATCTCCGCGGACCTCCACGGGCGGTGGATGTGGCTATAGTCGGGCCCCCGGGGGCCATAAGATGTCCACGTCACCGCAGGGGCCGGGCAGAGCGATCTTCTTCTGGGCCCTGCTCCCCCCCTGACGACCCCCAGGACAGGGATTCCTCTGCAGGAGAGGGGTCGAAATAAACGAATGGAGTGGGGGGGGAGGGAGGAGGGGAGGAGGGAAGAGGAGGGAGGAAGGAGGGGGGAAGGAGGAGGAGAAGAAGGAGGAGGGAGGAGGAGGGAGGAGGAGGGAGGAGGAGGAGGGAGGGAGGAGGGGAGGAGGAGGAGGAGAGGAGGAGGAGGAGGAGGAGGGGGAGGAGAGGAGGAGGAGGAGGAGGAGTGAAGAGGAGGAGGGAAGAGGAGGGAGGAGGAGGCAAGAGGAGGAAGGAGGAGGCAAGAGGAGGGAGGAGGCGGGAAGGGGGCAGGCAGAGAGCAGTCGAGAAGCACACGCGCCGAGGCTGCATCCTCGAGCGAACC